ACGATTATCTATCTGATCGTGAGACAAGCACGAACAGCTGCAACGGAGTCTTTGTCAACATCCAGAAACAAGTAGAAACGTCAGTATTGAATTCTGTCTCAGTAATTGAATTTAGAAATTTTTATAGGTTCAGTATGGCGTTAAATTAACATTAACTACACGAAGGAATTAGAATGTCTTTCGAAATAATTTCGTTCTTTATTCATGTCCTGTATATTTTACTTGTAATTATAAGTATTCGTTTCTCTTAAAATGTTTTACAAATTAAATTATTGTCAATTATTTCGGAAGCGATTAACCAGGGACTGTGAAAATAAAGTTTTAAAAAGAAAGATATTTAAAATATAAAAATCATTGAATAATAAAATTGATTAAAATATAATTTTTTGATTAATGACAATCTCTCGTAGGACTGGAGCATGTCATTGAATATGTTTGCAGGAGACAGTCTGATTGTTTGGTAAAACAAAGACGAGTTCTCCTTAGTTATACTTCGTAAACGGCGATAATTCTATGCACAAGAAATACTCAATAAATAATACTTTTCTGTAAAATTTTAAGTAAATAGCTTAAAATAGAGCCAACAAAATGTAATATAGAGAAAATTAATATAAAAATAGTATAAAATAGCACTGCTGACTATAGCTTTTTTTTTGTAAGAAATTTATTGTCATTACAAGAAAAAACAATTGTTTAAAAAATTAAACATAATTTCTGTTACATAATTTTATTAAATAACTAAATATTACCATTGACAGATAATAAAAGCAGAATATAATTTACATTTAGGCTATATTATTTATTACGAAATTTTAATTAAAATTCACATATCTCTTGTATCAGGTGTACTGTTATACTGTACTTCTTAATCTATAACTTAGAAAAAAACGAACATTTATCTCGATTTAACAAATATTTATTAATTTTTTTTCCGTTTTTTTTTTAAAATTAAAACCAAAGATACTGTTTTGCATAAAGTCAAATCGATTCTTACAAAATAACAATTTGTTCCTATTGTTCTGTTTTTTGGGAAGAACTTTTTGAAGAACCTAATAATCATTTTTTAATTTAAATAAATGGATTGTCTAATTGTATTATAAAAATATATGAGGCTTAACTTAATTTACCTAGAAAATTTTTAGTTTTTTTCTTGTAAATTTGCTTTAAAAAATGCTATACAACAATCTAAACTCAGGAATTATCGCAAAATGTCAATGACTTTATCAACTCTCTACGATGAAGCATTTTAAAAAGTGGACCTATTTCTATATAAAAGAAATTAATGTTTTTTTTTTTTTAATTATTTCGTACTTTGCATGGGAAATATAAAAGAATATACGAAAATATAAAAAAATTTTAAATATAAAATAGTCAAAGAGTAACTTGACAATCCAACCTATTGCAGAAATGGTTGTAATTGAAGAACCTAATTGGAGGTTCCTGTGTTCGAGATATATAAAAAAAATTAAGATTAGGTTACGTGTAGTAAGAATGGCTAACGGTACAGTAACTCAAAAATTTCGAAAGGAAACACCAGAATTTAATATTGCGAAAAAGATGAAACGATCTGTATCTTTGGATCCAAAAACGTCAACGAAATCGTGGATCAAAGTGCTACCACTTTTCCAGCCATGCAGAAAAACCCTAATCACTTCTTCCTACATCCAGTGCCTTCAAATTTAAAGATTAAGTAATATACATCTTGATTTAATCTAATCACGTATAAAGTTTCATAATTCTTAACCGTTAGCCCCGTTCTGACCAGTCTGCGTGTTAACTGGGCCGTTGCATTTAATAAATAGTGGACGTCCTCTCATTTGTTTAATGCTTTAATTTATTTTATCATTTAAAAATTAAGGTGTCGTTAGCCGGCATGTTAATTAAACTAATTAAATGATGAGTTCAACAAGTGAAGTAACGTCGGTAGACGGTGAGTGGAGACTAACGACTTTATCCACTTAATTCAAAGTAGCATCGTTATTTTTAGATCTATAAATGTCATTGTAATAATATATGGTGTTTATCAAAGTGATTTTCATGCTAATAGAATTAAATTCCGGTACTTTTATTTAAACTTTTTAAATTACGATATCATTAATCGTAATGAATTGGTAAAGATATTTTCTGGCTACCCTATACATTTAACTACATATAACATGATTAAATAATTAAAAAAAAATTTATATTAATAAAATAGATGAAGAGTATCAAAGAAATAGATTTCTCTTCTCGATATTGGTATTAAAAAGTACAGTAGAAACTGTGTAAACAGGAATCGCACGGTATCGAATATTTTTTCCGGTTTGGCAGGTTTCCATTTTGAACAGGTTTTTTTTTTCTTTTTTAAACAGAAAAGCGCTCCGTTCCGAAGAGTTTTTTCTGCTTAAACAAGTTAGAAGTAAAAATAAACTTTATATGAAATTATTTTTACAAATTCAAATTTAATTAAGAAATTCTATCAATTTGAATAGATATTGTTCTTTTTTTATTGTTAAATAATGACCAAGCCTTATGTTTTTCTTTTTTCTATTATCTTCTTGCTCTGTTTTGCTTCCAAAATAATCAGAAATAATCTAATACGTGCTATGTTAAACATTACAAATAATTTCGGGCTTAAAATAATTCAAATATTTTAAAATGAAGTTACTTTATTGAAATTTGATTAATAAAAAATATTTTAACTCTAAAAAAATATTACATACAGTAACTAATATAATATTCGATGAGAAACACATAAAATAATATAGTTTAGTATATTATAATCATGCAAACAAGCCTACCTTCTACTGTACTGTATATAAGTTTATCGTCAATAGTACTCCACCGAACCTAGATTAATCCATTATACTAAAGAATTTGAAAAGCAGTATATTTCCATATTTATAAAAAATGAAATTTATATCCTCTTCTAGATAAAAAAACAGCATAAAAATAATGCAGCTAAATACTTTAGTTAGAGCAAATTATTATAAATTAGAAAGAAGAAAGCATGGTTGTTACTATAACGTCTGTTAAATTTTAACTTATAGCATAAAAATTTGCTGGTCTGTATCGATAATATAATTCGTCTCGATCGATTGATCTACTTCCTAAAGTGTAACACTAATTTTAAACGTGACTCTTCTCATTAGATCTAACATAGATAACAGCAGACAATATAATACTTCATAATTATAATTAAAACTGAATATTTTTTTCTAATAAACACTTATAACTTACGAATTTTATATCCGAAAGATCTTCCATTTTGATTGAAAATAGAACGAGTATAGATAGATTCTTACATCATCAATATATCGATAAATATTTTGACGCGACACAAATCAATATTTCTTTAAAAAAAATTAAAAACAATTCGTTATAACGAGAAAATGAAAATTAAAATTATAGCTTTAAGACTTAATTTTTAAATGTTATTAACTCAAAGTTAATTTTGTAAAAAAAAATATATACTTTAATTTATTTTAATAAGTAATTTTGGTATATAATTATTAAGATATAAATGTAACATTACAATAAATATCGTAAGAATGATCAATATTACTTTACGGGTCGTGTAATATAGATTTCTGTACATAATTTAACAACTGATATAGGAGTAAGGTCATGAAATATCGAACAATTTTCAATTTATTTCATAGATCATAAACAATGGAATTAATTAGAAAAAGGTTCTTTTATCTTATGGTTCCAGCACTTCGATAAATACACTTATTAGTTTAAATGCTCTTATTTTTCGCTGTAATTTCGATAAATAAGAATATTTCAATAAATTTTTCCGTCTTTTTTTTTTGTAGAAAGAGTCTTGATAGACTCAAAAATATTAATACTATTGTGGTAGCTTTTGTGATTACTTTCGGATTTTATTAGTTTTATTTTTTAGTTTCATTCTATCTAATGATCGTATTGTTTTCAGAAGAATATTTTCGTGGTGAATTACGGAAGAAACAAAGCCTGTGATCAATCACAATATGAAATTTAATCGATCTATTTGAGATGCTTCACTATTAATAAATTTATTCCTAACTTAGATATAAATTTGATCAAATTTCATATAAAATTTTAATATAATTCAATAATATTTTTCATTAAATTTAATTAAAAACGTATATTAATAAATTACTTAACTGTTTATAACGGATATTAATAAAGTTATTACAAGGCACGTTAAATAGTAAACCGGAAAAGTGACATTAAAAGTCGGGAGGATGAGCAATAGTGGTGTAATTTTGACACACGAAACTTCCAAGTCAGAGGCAACAGTAACTGCGACTGACAACACTATTGATGGGCAAGAACATAAAACAAAGGATCGATAAATGGCAGCGCCTCTCCAGCAACGCACGAAGCGAGAGTGGTGTAGTGTCTGAATTTTGACAAAAACCAATTAACATCTATTGGCACATGCAGGTACAACAACAAGTACAACAAGGAGACGACTACACGAGTGACACACAGGTGTACGAGTGGAGTTCTAAGATCCACAAATAGCCACAATTCTGTGGAAGATTCTCCATGGCATTCACTGCGGTCCCTGCCATAGGGAATCTTCCACAGAACTGTGGCTGCTTCAGCAACCTTAGAACTGTAATCGTACACCTGTGAGCAACACATATAGTCGTCTTTTTACTGTACAATACCTGCATATACCAATAGATGTCGACTGGTTTTTGTCAAAATTCCGATAACATTACACTGATCTCGCTTCGTACACTGCTGGAGAGGAGCCGCCATGTTATTGGTCCCTTGTATTATGTTCTCGCCCATCAACAATGTTGTCAGTCGCAGTTACTGTTGCCTCTGACTTGGAAGTTTCGTGTTGCAAAAATTACGCCACTATTGCTCATTTTAAATATTTTTTTTTAGTGAAGAATTAAGTGTTCTATATATGTTTTAGATACAGCAAAGTTATGAAGTATTCTTTACAACAAATTATATTTAATCGAAAATATAAATTCAATTTTATCCTATTTTTAAAACTGTATAAAAATTATTTTTACCTTCATCATCTACTCCATTTGGACAGGTGGTAGAGATGTCGTTTCCCACTGGAAAGTGTATGCAACGATGATTGCTGAAAAAGAAAGTATTTGAAATAATACAAAACAACAATTAATAAATACAAGAACTATAAAATTCAAATATATAAAACCTTAATTCTATAAAAAATATAGAACTTAAATTATTGTAATTAATTTAATTTAAAGTTAAAAATCTAAAAGTCTCACATGACAGTGGAAAACTGTAATTTTCCGTGAATTCCTAATAAAAGAGGTCAAAGAAAGATAAAAAGCGATTTTTTTTATGATTTAAAATTTCTTATTTAAACTTCTTAATTTTAAAATAAAAATTAAAAAGAATAACTTATAATTTAAATAATTTTTCGACAATTATAGGTCTTTTCACTTACTGAATGGTTGTACACTCATACAGAACCGAAACGTTCACTGCTCTAGCGATTTTCAAACGGGCAAAACTTTATTATATGTGAACTTGGCCTGGATTAATTCGAGGGTGGAGCGAATTTTGAAGCCGTTGCCACGATACAGTGTTTGAAATATATATACTTATGCTACCTTGAGGACACTGATCTCTACTGGACAATGTCCTTGATGGATCATTAACTAGAAGATCGGATGATTTATTCCGCTTATATCAAACTTAATCCATTAAAGTAGACAAGATTAAAGTATTTATTAGGAATTATCATGTTATTGAATGATTTTTTAAGGAAGAAATACGTTGGAAAATAAAATTTATTGATGTATTTAAGAATTCATATCACGGTAATTTTGGGAATTCGTAAGAACAGAGATTTGTAATTTTGAATATTTTATTAGATTTAACGATTATAAATTTTATGATACAATGGAAACAATAATTTATTTGAATAATTCTATAGGAAGAAAAAGATCATTGCCACGTATTGAATACGTATATACATTTGAAATAAATTGAAGTTCGAAAGCCTTGACTGAAAGTCTCATACAAAAGAAAAATACACGAAATAATGTTGATTCACACGAAAAATTTTGCAAAGAATGTAATTACGATTTACTCTACTGAACATCGTGAATGACCTTATATTAATCTACATCAAAAACCGTGACATATATGATAAAGTTCAATACTGTTTTGTATTCATTTAAATTCATCTAAGCTATATTATATTTGCTATTTAAAAACTCTTATCTCTTTCTCTTAAAGAAGACTACATGTAGACAAAAAGCACGCCATATTCTTTTGTTGATATAACGCGATTTTGTTTTTATATAAATTGTTGCCAAGACAATTATTTAAACCGAAGTTCTTGAAAATTTTAAAATTAATATTTAAAGAGTAAATATTACTTTAGAGTACTTAAGGCTAATATCGATCGATTTAAATACATTTTTTTCTCCTTTATTATTTTAATATACGTGATTACATTTGTTATACAATGTTTGTTCTTTTATTATAAATATAACAATTAAATTAGTGATTAAAAATAATGTAAATTTTTAAAATTTATTTTGTTTTAATTTTGATTGATTATATAATTTCATTTATAAACTAAAGTAAATTTCTGAGAAGTGTAAGTAAAATTTACATATATTATGTCATTGTAAGATACATAATTGTCATACTCCCAAAGGTACAGTTATATTCATAAAGTTAGATTATTTTAGAGAAGAAACTAAAATAAAATTAGACTGCTTACACTTTTAGTTATAACGTAAGGTATTCATTATTGTAAATACTTCCTGAATATATATATTTTTTTATTTGTTAGCAAGGTTGCTAAGGATGTCTATTTTAAAATAATCAATATAATAATTTCTTTTTTAATTCTATAATAAGGTGGTTATTGTTTAGTTTGTTTAAAAACAGTTATGGCAACGGACTATGTAGACTTCTCTTTTATTTATTTACATTGTTTAGACAGGCAAAAGTATGCTTATAAAGACAACTACGCTCATATAGCCTATATACGTGATAGTGTAGGAATGTTTTAAAATTAATTAAATAAAATTTCTAGATATTCTTTTTTATTCGATAAAGTGAATATTAAAGAGAACAATATTATTATAGCTCATTATTTTAATGTTTCTTCTACTTTTCTACGTCCTTGGCTTAGTCACATAAAGGGTGTGGCATTGCTGGATGACATGAGTTATCCTGGATTTTTTTTTCTTTTTTTAATTCATAAGCCCTCCTTTAATTTCGAAGTGGGTTGTGGGTTCTTGATTTAATTATTATTAATATTTTTATTTTAAAAGAAAAATATTTTCGCGTGTTTCTTTTATAATATATCAGCCATTAAAAAAATCATCAAAGCATTCCTTTGATTAATGATTTTAATATTTAGATAATCACTTATATTTTAAGTGTTTCGTGTGTTTTAATAACTAAGAATACATTGATATGTATTAGTAAATAATACTGTAATTTCTTCTTTAGAATATGGGAAGAGGAACCAGGAAACATGAGGAAAGGGATTAAATAATACAAAATTCCTTCTCGAATGTTAAAAATTTCAAAATATTTCAACCGTGTGTATAATTCTTGTGATATTATATTAATTTATTTCGTATTTTTATAAGTTTTTTGCAAACAAATCTTTTATCAAAAGTTTAAAAACATTAAGACCCTCAAAAAACTTATTCTGTAGTTGGCCGGATTTTTATTTAATATATTTACATAAAAATTCAATATTTATCGGCCGTAAAGAATTATTTATATTATAAAATATAATATAATTGCAAAAATAACCACGTAATAAAATTATAATATAAAATAAACATTTTTATTTGTGATTTAAATTTGATCGTTACTTCAATTTTTTAATAAACTGTTTTTTAACTAATTAAAATATACGGTTATAAAATAATCGAAAAAGTTTTAAAATAAAATTCTGTGCGATTTCTTTTCTTTTGAAACTTCATTAACCTAATTGATCACCATTAATAAATGGCAATAAAATATTTAAACAACTCAAAAAATTTGATAGAAATTGATAGTATTTTGAATAAAACTGTAATTAGTTTAATTAATTACGTTAATGATTAATTAAGTCATTCCAAAGTTAACTCTCAAATATATTGTTTTATTACCTAATTAATTTTTGTAGTAAATTTTTTATAAACAATTTTCTAGAAAATCAATTTTTATATAGCCTATAATCGTTTTTGTTTACCATAGGAAAACTTTTTTTTTTTTTTTAGCGACATTTCGATCAATTTTCAATTGAGAAATTCCAGTAAGTTTTTTCCAATTCTATCTGATTTTTGGTGTAATATTTTTGAAATATATATATATATACTTTACATGAATGAGAACAGTTTTATTAATTAATTAATAAAGTTTCGTGTATCATATTCTCAACACAATCATAATTTTTTTCCTGTAGTTAAAACTGTAAAGAAATATCTGAAATTCTTTTACTAAACTCCTATTCTAAACAACCTTCTTCAAGATTTGTAAAGGAAACTAAAGCATGTTTATGGCACGCACGCACTTTTCAGATAAGTTATTACCGGAATTTATAAATTACAACTATGTTCTAACACATCTTTTCCATTTAATTCACATTAACCAGGACTAAAAAACGAAAATAATAAAAAAAAACTATATATATATTTACAGAAAGTGTCAACGATTAACTCACCCGCAAGTACATAGCTGGCATATACACTTCTCCTTTGCCATGATTGTTCTGTGTTCGGAATCCGTGCTTATTCTTTACATATTCAAACTAATAATCCCGAACTACCCCTTCTAACTCTACCACCTTCAATCGCCATATTCCCAGAATGCAGGGCAGTAACGTGGTTGCCTAGGATACTTCATTTCAAACAGTTGACCTATATCGCGGAATTGGATTTTTCTTTAGAATCGGAATTGTTGATGAATTGATGCCATCATTAGAAACTTCAAAGAATCAATCTTTCGTGTGTTTTCAGGTCTAGACGCCTTTGAAATGGCATGGGTTATATTAAGATGATTATCAAATATAGGCCACTAAACCGTAATCAATATTTTTGAAAAGGATTAGAAGGAAATGTGTTACGAGGTTTTGTTATTTTACAAAAGATTATAATCTTTTATATACTTTTCTTGAAAGTATTCAAGTACAATATGTGATTTCACTAAACTTTCTTATACATATATTTGGTTCTTTCTAAGTCTTAAGAGGGAGAAGAAATACAAATTTTATGCAATTGGTACAATTATTCCGTTTTTAAGATGAAATTTAAAAAGGTTAAGAGCTAGGAAAAGTAATTTTTAACATGAAATTATTTTGCACTGGCTTTTAAAAGTTTAAAACTAATTTTAAATCTAATTTCAGATATAAAAAAACAAGACTATAATTTGAAGTATATTAGTTATTTTGTATGGAAGTAAGCAATGCTTTCATTCAAATTAGTCACGAAATTATAATTTTATTTATTTCCAGTTAATACTTTAAATCTATTTTAATGTCTATTATTTTAAAAAAATTTCAAGATTATTACTTAAGACTTATAAAAAAAAACCATTTTAATTAACGCAATTTTGTTGATATAAAACGTTAATATTTCTCCTAACATCGTAATTATTATTAGATATATTTTATATAATAATTCTAATATTTTTGCTATTATTTTATGTGTTTTTATAGAAAGCATTTATAATTAATAAATTAATTTATTTTTGTATTAGTAAACACACGTAAAGAAACGTCTACACATAGACAGTGGTTTAATTATTACAGCTCTTTAAAACTATTATTATACAAAAAATTTGTATTATAATCACAATTTATTTTAAACATTTTCGATATTGTTAATTATTAATTAATTATTACTAATAAATAATAATTAAACTCTAATTAGTTAGCATTTATATGCCCGGTGTTGCCCGGACAAAATTAATAAGGACAATTATAAAAATTAATTTTTTCCCCTTATTAATAGGTTGTTCAAGTTTCATGGTAATCTTTATTTTCCGCAGGTTCCTGGAGGGTAATTCTAATGAATAAGTCAAAGGTTTAGAAGTGTATAGAGAACAGACAACAATAGGAATTCTATTTTATATAAGCCTATATAGAGTGAGGATTTTAATATTCTACAAGAGTCATTTAATATTCTAATGGATTCAATATTAAAATTATTTCAAAAAACAATAAAATCGTAAAAAGAAATTGTTTTTAAACACGTAATTAAACTTTACAGTAAGTTATTATTTAAATCATTTAAATATTTAAAGAATTTTTAAAGTATTATTTCATTTAAGACTCACTTAATTAATGTTAAAAGTATTGTTATATCGTTTGTTAAGGGCATTTTTTACGAATAGTATTATTTTTCTATTAATTAATAAAGAGTATTTTTCGAAGAAACAGAAGCACGAGATACTTCAACGTTACAGCAATAAATTGAATGATATTTAAGAGCATAACATAATAATTTCTCGAATAAAAATCAACGAACATCTGCCAAATAATTAAAACTTATAACTACTTTGAACAATCTGATAACATTAAACATTGGTATTAACTTATTCTTATACATTAATATTTAGTAAAATTATTCAAATACTAAATCAAATAATTAGATTTTTTGGATTGGATAACGTCTTGATATTTTCTAGTTACAGCATTGAGGTTAAATATATTCTTCATTCAACTTCAAAATGTCTTTTAATTAAACTTGGCCAAGTATTTGATCCATTTTTAAATTTGTGTAAATTTAGTTTGTTATAATTTGATAGTTTGACGAGTTAAAGCTATTTTAATGATCGTGAAATGAACGTTTACTAAATTATATATCATTATTTTCTATAAGAAAAAAAAATCTTGAAATACAGAAAATTGCGTGCTGTTGAGGAAAACTTATGACAATGATGTACGAAGGAATATACTTCAATTTAATGAAACAATGATCTGTTATGTATTGAAAGTTTATGAATTCGAAGAAGAACCTTTCATTATGATGATTTCCTCTCTAAACTTCGATTCCAGGAAATATATTCTGCCAGTTTATTTAACTCGAATATGCTATTTTATTAAAATAAAAGAATAAACTTGTACGGTTTAACTTCATAAAATTATTGTATTAATAATAATTTTATGAAGTCTTTAATATGATTCTAAAATCAATAATATCACTAGAAGAAAAGTGTATTGAGATATATATTTTAGAAAAATTATTATCATTTTTTTAATTTTCCTCTAACACTTTATAAGTTCTTTGTAATAATTGCATAAGAATGAATATTTTTTTGCATTTAAAATTTCTAAGAAACATACTTTGATAATTTAACACTTAACACTTTCTACTGGTTAAAAGTCAAAAGGTCAAAGTCAACTTCGAATGAAATTAATAAGTGAAATATTCTTTCAATTATCAGAAATAACACTAACAGCTTTAGATCCATTAACTCTACTACATAATATTAATAGAGTTAACTTTTATTACTGTTATAATTTGTAAAAATGAATAAAGGTGAGAAGTCAAAAAGTAGAATTGGAACAGATGAGAATAAAACTAATCTGTACTAATTTATGATTCTATTGATCAAAGCTATTTTAAATATAGATCAACTTTCACTCTCTCTTTCTCTCTATAAATATATACATATAAGCGGATAAAATATAATTAATTAATTAATTATTCAACTAAAGTGAATAAAACTTAATCTATTTAATTTATACTTTTTTTTAAATTTAATTAATTAAAAATTAAATTGTTTAAGTAGAATTAATTAAAATATATTTTTTTTAATATATAGATGTAATTAAATTCAATTTAAAAGAATAAATTTGCTTGTAATTTCTATAATTATTTCGCATCATAATACTTCAATACGGCATGTTTATTATTATAATTTATTTTTATAAATTAAATTTTCTTGTAGCTATAGAAGTATTATCAGTAGAATGCATTAGATTAATATATTTGAATCAACATCTTGAGAGTATTTATCTAATTTTTTTTCTATTAATTCCTTTGTATTTTATTCAGTAAATAATTATTTAAAGTAATAACTTAAATACTTAAAAAATCGTTTGGAGATTACGCGTGTATTCATTCATACGTCGACAGGAATTGCTGACGTCAACGGGGAAAGCGCCTACTAAATCACGTGACTGCAGTTTCCTTTACGTCATCGTCAACAGTTGCCATGTCTGCATGACTGTAGGCAACCTTATGCGAACGTTTTCGATCGATATTTCAAATATTCGATCAACATGGAGAAACATATGTTAGTTTTTGCCATTTTTTTAACACAGTATTCATCATTATGTTTTAATTACAAAAAATTACCACTGTTAATGCCCGATGTACAACCAAAGCAGGTAAGTATTGTTTTTGTACCGAATAATACCGAACAGGTATTGTTATGTCATTGACTAGAAATCAAAATATTGCTGTCAAGTAATGTAAGAGCGCTTATAAAGGACTAAAATATTATAAGTAACCAAATAACATGTATTTACCTTACTAATGGATAATGGTCGTGATTAATTTTATCCTTATCTATTTGAAGATAATGATTAATAGTAAGAAAATCACGGTCAAGAATTGGCTGATATATATATATATATATATATATTACTGTGAAAGACCGAAATTAGAGAATGTCGATATTCTCCGGTGAATGTCGACACATACAAAATACGTCGGTGAAAGACCGAATATTTGGTNTCTATTACGTATAATTTTACTATATCATTTTTATATAAATTATATAAAAATACATACACATATATATATTAATGAATAGTTAATTAATTTTTTAAGAACTATTTTAAATATTTAATAAATTTAAACATTAATAAACATATTTTTGTAGATATGAAAATGTTGCCTCGTGGCGATTTTATGAGAAAACCTTTAACAGCTGCATGCATAATGACATATTTGATGATGTACAGTCAGGAATAATTTGGATTTCTTTTCTATTTAATTTTCAAACTTTTCAATAATTATGTCTAATTTTTTTATATTCTTAAAATTAATTTTATTATTTTCGTTACTTTTATTAACATTTGAAAAATAACCTAGAACAGAATAATATTGGTATTTTTCTAAATAAGATTTTTATTTGAAAATATTTATACTTTATTTAAAATAAGTTTTATTATTTTAAAAAAATATTTATATTTTTATATAAATTTTAAACTATCAAATTATTCGATTGGTATTTTTTTAACTATCAAATTTTAAAATTAAATAGAACACAGTTACTTAACATAAAAAGGAACTTTTTTCGTGTTAAAAGTTACTGTTCTACTTTAAAAGCAGATCAGTGGCAATCGTATTTTTAACTATAGGGAAAAGAATAATACATAAATTCATAAGGCGTTCAATGGAAAGATTATATTGTGAACTTGACAAAGTATCTAAAATGTTACAGACCTAAATAGTCTTAGTCGCATATTTTACCAATTTAAATAACATTTATATAGGCCTATGTCTGGAGAGTGTATTTATTTATTAAAAATAAAATAAAATCCTTAGAAAAAATTTTTTGAAGATTTTAAATGATTATTTTTAAAGATTTATAAGCTTTAAATAGGACTGTGATAAAACAAAAGTTTTATATCGAGATTCTTTCGATATAATGGCACAACAATAGCTTTAAAAGACATATGTAGAAAGGACTTTTATATTTTTAAGATGTTCATTATTAATTAAAGTAATTTATGGTCATGAAAGCCCAAAGACAGGGACGAGTTGGACACAGAAGATAGTTAATATTTACTCTTTTATGTAAAAAGCGAATGTTACGAAATGTAATAAATTAAATTTCCTTTCGATAAGTGGTAAAAAAGTATATATATTTTTGCCTGTTTTATGATTTTAATTGATATATTTACTTTTACTTTATTCATGTGGGACTTCTAGTTGACATTTGAGACCGTCCTAGGCTTCATCTCACCTTTCTCATGCCTTAATTATATATTATGTTTGCATCTTTTATTAATAGAAAGTTATAAGTAAACATTTGTTTAAAACATGCACTTTCAATTTCATAGTGCAGATGGAAATATCCATCAACTGATCTTTATTTAAATTAGTTTATATATAACTATGCTTGAGCTATTCTAATGTTTCCATTTACTTTATTATTGTCTGATTTCTAAAGTATAAAGCTGACAAGTGTGTAGAAAAATATATAAAAATATATTAAAAATTCAGTATAAAATATTAAATTAATGATAATTTTCGATACAATTATTTTTCTCATAGACTTCATTGACACTGTAGGAATAATATATGTAATTAATACAAATCGTTAATCATAATATTTAACTTTTATATAACATTAAAAAAGCGAATTTAATAAATATGATGTTGCAGTTTTAGTATGCAATTTCTCACGTCACGTCGCATTATGCATTATATTAAGGATAGCAATGCATTACTAAACATTTTGTATACATAATATTAATATTAATACTCACAACTAAGACGATATTTAAATTTCAAGCTTATTTGTATGAGAATTAATCAATTGACTATTTGTTAATTTACGAAATTATTAAGTAATATGATCTTAAGAAACTAATTTTTGTGTAGAGGTTTTTCTGTACGTTAATTACAATATGCAAAATTAACTTGATAGTTTCAAATTATTATTATTATTCTTTTAATAAATCATGTATATTTTAGACTTTCTCTCTTTTTATTTTTACTAAAAAATTAATATATTTGATGTAAGACATTAAAATACAGTAATGTGTAGAATCTCAGCCACGGTTTAATTAAAAACTATAAAATATAATTAAAATAATACAACGTTTAATTTTAATTAAAGAAAATAAAATCTAACTAAATAAAACTTAATGAGAGTTTTATAAATGCAATTTAAATTTGTTACGAAGATTGAAGGTTTCTTTTATTTACATGTTTCATATGTTTTACTGATGTTTTAAACCTCAAAATGTATGTCAACAGATGTGAATATATTTTAAAAACATATTGTAATTAGTTTATTTCTTTAGTAATTCATGACATTAATGCTAAATAGTTTTATGTATTTTAAAATATTTTATTGGAATTAGATGAAATTTTTTGTTCTTACAAGGTAGTGAGACTTGTTATAACAATTCCTCGAAGTTTGAATTTAGTAATTAATTAGAAAACTCCCTTATTTTATCATCAATATCAAATGCTATTTTTCATAGTATTTAGCTAATTTGGAATGGTTCCAAACTTAATTTTGCAATTTACTTAAATGTCAGATCTAATTCGTGTTGTCGCTTCGATGATTTTATTATATCATTGATAAACTATAAGAAAAATTTTCTTTAATTTTTTCAGTGTTCATTAATTAAATGCAAGTAAATTTAAATATTCTATTTTACTCACATACGTATTTATATTTTTTAATTAATTTAAGACGAAGATTTTGTGTCGAATATACCGGGTGATCGTAATTAAAGTATCTCTATTCAACGCTGTCTAGAAAGATATTTAACAGGCCATATGCGATCGGTTTGTTATGGTGACATTTCAAAACACGTGGAAGATATTTCAGTAAAAATTTTGTACCAAAAGTCACCGCTATGGTACTTTTGGCGTTGAAAGCAACGAATATTTTCTTTTGTACAAGAAATAATTTATTTGTACACGACACTCATAGAATACAAACAGCTTAACGATGCAGGGGATACTGCTCAATGTAACCCACCATTCTGAAGTTGTAAAATCTGAAGGCGACACGTTCAATGACCGGCCGCAATTGGTCCTCTACAGTGGTGCACTCAGAGGGAGCCAAGTCCCTCTGAGTGCACCATTGCACCCTCCAAAGAAAAAAAGAAGAAAAAAAAACAACACTATAAAAATTTTCAAAGATATTTTTCTAATTAAAATTTATTTTTGTATATACAGTATATATATATTGTGTCGTGTCTTCTATTTCTATAGTACTTATGAAGTAGAGGTCACATAAGACCCGGCTCCCCCAAAATTAAATCCTGAGTGCGTCATTGATCATGTGTGATTAGGGTTTCTCATTTCCCGGTCTTTTGCTTGTCCCGGGATCCCGGGATAAAAGTGAACTGTTTCCCGGGATCCCGGGAAATCCCGGGATAGAATTAATTATTTTTAAGGTATACAAAATATCTTGAAATCAAATGATATAATTATTTTCCATTTTTTAAAGTAATTTTAAAGTTCTGTAACCTCCAAAATCATATTAATAATGCTGTGTAAGGTCTATAGGCCTATAATAAAAATTACCTTTAAATAACGTAGAAATTTTCACAAATAGAAAAAAATTAATTAAAGTTTGCTGGAAACTGCATACAACAAAAAAAAAAAAAATGTTTTGAATTGAGTTAAAAATTAAAAAAATGAACTTCTAATTTAGAAGGTAATTTTCGTTTTTTAAATAAAATATAATACAAAATATTGCAAACTTTTATAAGATTTTAAAAAGCAAAGATGGTCAATACTCCGATAACTCACTCTAATTCTTATTTTAGTAATGAAAAGTCTTGCCACCGAGAATGCCCTTTCCGATTCAATTGATGTGATTGGAATAGTGTTTAATGCATTTAAGAGAAGACAGATATTATGTGTTTTTTCACCTGTAGCCTGGAAGATTTCGAGTTCGTTTTCGAGATTGTAGTACTTCTTTCGCTCTCTAGTATTCTTGATTTGTCTACCTTGGCTGCTTTAATAGCGGCATCAAGCTTAGAGCTCGATAATTCGGCAATTCATTTGGCTTTAATAATCAGGTTTATGAAGAAAAACTTCATACTTGCAGACTTTGTACTCGTTTGTATCCTTGCCCAATTTGCACAATCTGGCGTCAGGCATTTATTGAAGCTACTGGGCATGGTTAAAACTCAAGACAGCGTAAGCACAATTATTCCAGATATTACAGGTTCCGACAAGTAAAGAATTTTTATAGTCCTGCCACAAATAAGCTATATATTGATTATTGACCATTTGTGACATGCTATAACGAGCAAAATTTTAAAAAAAACTAATAGGTAAAACAACAATTAATAAATACAAATGTATTCTGACAGTGAATGAGATAATTATGCTTTTTATTTGCAAAATTTCTTAACCTTAACACAAAATAAGAAAAAAAAATGTGAATTTTTAAGAAATTTGCGGGATTTCCCGGGATAAGAAAAATTTCCCGGGATATTTCCCGGGTTAAAAAAACAACCGGGATCCCGTTTGAGAAACACTATGTGTGAAGCTTCTCACACGCAGTGTGATACTATTTCTAAAAGCTACCAAATTTGCAATATGTTCTCGATAAACTATGCTGTGTAAGCGTCATACCACCTAAAATTTCACGGTTTGCAGCTCCAAATGAGCCATAGTGATGAATTTTGGTACTAAATTCTTAAGGAAATATCTTCCACATATCCTGAAATGTCATAATACAAAATTTGGTGCATTTGAACTGGTAAATAGTTCTCTATATAGCGTTAAATAGGAGTACTTTAATAACGCGCGCGCGCGTGTGTGTGTGTGTGCAAGCAATACAGAATTATTGATTTTTTAAATGCCTATATCGTGATTAATATTGTTTTTGTTTGGCTTATTCTAAAAAAACAGGTATTAATATTATATGATACTTAATATTTTTTATAAACGAAACTGTTTCACTTGTGATAGCAATATTAAATTATCTCAGAGGCACGCAAATATACATTATGTGTACACATACACACATTGCCGGGGTAATTAAAACCGTGCTAAAGGTACATCATATAAAGATTATGTCAAGATTCAATCGTTAATATATTAAATATTTCTAAAATTAAAATAAACAATTTCTAATGTATTACCTATTATTTAAAAGGCAAAAATGATACATGTAATTATTATTATATAAATCACATCTGTCATTCGCTTAAAGTGTATATAGAAATCTCATATTCTATTTATTTTTAATTCAATGTGTGCAAAAATTTATAAAGAATTTTCAATAGATAAAAAGATAATTGAGTTACACTCGTCTAGAAATGTCAGATGAAGTTAGGAAGATTTTTCGAATGTTCCATTCTTTCGTATAGGCCTATATTACACTTACAAAAAATAAATTGATTAAAATAATTGAATATTTTATACGATATTCATTTTTATATAATAAGATTTGGTGTTGTTGCCGATTAATTTAATTACAATGAATCTTATTTATTCCTTTTCTATATATGCTGTGTTGTTGTTGTTATTATTATTTTTTAAAATTCTTGTTTTCCTCGACTTCAGTGTTTATTCTATATTTTAAATAAGAAATCAGAATTAGTTTATATATAGTTAATTTTTTTGTATATTATATAACTATTGTTAAGCGTCGTGTTTCTAGGAGGAGGAAATCCACTGTCTCACAACACTTCTTAATATAGATGCAAATAAATACAAAATATAATTTAATTTAAAGAAAACTATTTTCAATATTATAAAAAATTTATATATTTTATATAATCAAAGTCTTATTGTTTAATTTGTGATTTGATTTTTAATGATTTGTATTAAGTTAATTCCAAAACTATCAAACGAATAAAGTAGAACAACAGAATAGAAATAAAGACGATTTTATTTTAATCTATTAAATAAACTTTTTCCCATTAAATTATAATAATCGTATTTTATTACCTGTTTTTCCGTTTCCGAATTTAAAAGGCGGAAACGATTTAAACACGAAGACTGCATCTGAACTGATTTTAGTAAAGTGCAAAAGAGTGTACAGTCCTATTACAAAGTTTGTAGAGTGTAATAAACATTACTGGAGTGAGTAAAAAACAAGAATAATCAAATATTTTTCCTTTATATGTGTATTTTTTTTACCTTTTATGAAATTCAATAAAGTTACGAGGTTAGGAAGGAAGTGAACGAACTTAATCGCGTGATTGAAATAAGAAAAACTGACCACTTTGTCCTACTTATTCGATCATTTGATGTACGATTGTTAATAATTTCTACTTATCATAAAAAGTTGTTATTATATGTAGCTATATAACATATAAATTAGATTACAAACAAACAATTTAAATCAATAGGGAGTCAATTTTTTGATTAGAACTTCTATTTATAAACAAATATCGAGTATCTTTAATAATTAAGTTTTAATTAAAGTTTCAATCTCGTTTATTAAACAAAACAGAAAAAAATATATACATTTCTCTGTTATTTAATTTTTATATTAATAAAAATATGAAAAAAATTCACTGATAAAGCAATAATTACGATCTTAATAATAGTAATTATAGTTTTTTAATGGCTAATTAGATACGAAATGTCTGTTAAAATATATTAATTTGTATATTTTATTTATTTTTCAGAAAGAAACTTATTTATGTGTAGCTTATAAAATGAATAAGAACGAACACGAAAATATAGGTATGAAAATTTAATTAATAATTTTTTAATGTAATAGTTAATGCTATTTTGGAAATTATACTAAATGTAGGTGAAAATTATAAGAAATTTTTCTATTAATAACGTTTCCATTGTAATATTTAGGTCAATTCTTTAAGAGATAATTAATTTGTTTCGAAAAATCACGCAATAAAAGGATCTTAATAATAAAACGGAATATTTTAGGATTAGAATTAATTATTCATGTAAAAAAGTAAATTTTTCAATCGAACTTTAAAGGAATAATTAAATATATATATATTTTTTTCCAAACAGAAATTAGTTATTCTAAAGTATAAAAGTGCTATATTTTGCAAGACAATTAGATCATGAAGAATTAGATTTAATAATTTTACAATGACGGTTTAAAAAATTATTGATCTGATTGTTCTTAGAAAGATAAGTTTAATTAATTTAGAACATTGTAATTTAATACGAGTTAGAATCAGAGCTTTATTTCTCATCTCCAATTTAACTAGTCGACTCCATTATAATAGACAAAACTGAGGCTGGCCGAATAGCCTTGCTCATATTAATGAATCAGATCAAGAAAATTATAAGGCTATATAAATTATTATCGGGTAATTTGTATCTGTTAATAATGTTTTCACAGTAATTTGTGTAATAAAGTTTATAAATTAACGAAAATCATTACATTTCTTATTACAGAAATGTTTTAAAAGAGTAATAACTTTTGTATAAAATATACAAAATAAATGGGATTTTTGTTTTATTATTTTGGTCGAACAGCTTTATTCCATTTTAAATATTCGAAGAATGCCACTCGAGACAAAGGGAGAATCATTCTTGAATAAGAATGAGCTTTTTCAAATGTAATTTGACTAGTTTCATTCTATTATTCAGTTGGTATTATCAGTATTTTTTTAAAAATAATATTATGTAATTTTTGTATGCTTTTCAAATAATTATAATTTTGGCCTATTTTATTTCAGTTAAATTCGAACCTAACGCAACAATGCACGTCGCTCATCATATTTTGATTTACGGTTGCCTCGAACCCGGTTACGTTCAAAGAGACACACCCAGATTTGTTTGGAACTGTGGCGAAATGGCGGGTTCCAAATCGGAATATGTTTCAGCGCCCACATGTGCATCAGGCTCTCAGGTTATATATGCCTGGGCTCGTGATGCACCACCACTGGATTTACCCGATGGTAATAATAATAATAATTATATAGATTAATAAATTTGACTGTTAATGAATACAGAATTCAAAAAAATAACACAGAGTTATCGTATGANGTATTAAACAATTTCCCAGTTTGCCTTTTAAGGAAGAGCAGCTTTTCTACAAAAAGAACAAATTAACCTTTACGCATAAAAATAAAGTGTAGCAGTAACTTTTTTTTTTTAAATTAACAAAACAGTGATTTTAAAAATAATTTTAAAATAACAATTTTTTTCAAAAAATAAACCGGCATTAATTACAGTTCACTATAACTAACATCAGTGGCGCATTATCCTATGGGGCATCTTTTCTAAGTAAATTTTCCCCTAAAAAATTTCTCCGAGGAAAAACATCCAAAGTCGATGCCATACATGGGGCCTCCAATTCGATTTATGCTCGGGCCTCGCAAAGCTATAACACCCCACCAATCAATATTAAAATTCAGAGTAAATTCAGTAAATTATATAGATTAATAAATAGCATTGTTAATGAATACAGAATTCAAAAAAATAACACAGAGTTATCGTATGAACATATAATTCTCTTCACTCCCAGTATAGTAATTCATCGAAGTGTATTTTTCATATTAGATAATGTATTTTAATGAGGATTGTTACGAAAAGGAACTGTAAGACTTTTTGCAATTTTTATTAAATTGTTTTTCAATAATATTAAAATCTTAGATTACAGGAAACCAATTATATTTTACATATTCTTTTCCTTCCACCTAACATTATTGTATTCATTAGTACTATAATTTGCATAATATATTAATACATTTCTGTATTTTATGCATTACTATAGGTGTGGGCTTCAAAGTAGGAAAAGGAAGCGGAATTAATTATTTAGTTCTACAAGTTCATTATGCAGACGTTACTCGATTTATAAGTAAATAATTCGACTCCTTTATTAAAAATTTAAAATTCAACAAAAGAATTATATTTAAAATGTTCATAAATTTTTAATACAGATGGAGGAACAGATAATTCTGGAATAATTATAACGTTACTTCCTGGTACTGATCCAAGGTGAGAATTTCCGATATATTTTTTAAAATTATTGTAGTATTTTCGACTAGCTGTTACAGTTATGAAATAATACTTAATTTAATTGGTACTACATATCTAAGACCTGGACTTCACATTACCAAAAAACAGGAACTGATAACTGAAATTAAAAATTACATCATTTTGTTTTAGTATAATTTCCGTTTTATCTAAGCAACATTTTACCTAAGAATAAATACAGATAATTTGCGGCACTTATTGGAAATTTCCGAAAATCTTCGGTCAGATTTCTGCCTGACCGAAAACGAAACACTGGAAGTTGCGTTGTTTTGTGTTCATCTATTTGATTTTTCGCAAAACAACAGGATTTAAAAACTTCTTACACAGTAATTCATATAATTATGACAAAAACACTATAATTAGTTTGGTAAATTGACTTTAAAATACGTCAATATGCAGGTAAAGATTTCAACTCGTTGTAATGAATGTACTATACTATTTTAAAATTTAAATCAATATGTTAATAAACAAAAACAAAACAACTCCAAAGATTAATTGGATAAAGCTTTGCACTTCGATTACATTTCACTCTGTATTATATAAATTGAAAATTTATACAATTTGTAAACAGTACATATAAATATAATGCAAAATATTTTTTTAAAAACAAAAAAGTGTTAGATATAAAACTTAAATAACTATGTTATATATAACTTGTTTTTTAATCAATAGATTAAAGTAATAATATAAAATACATGTTATTTTCCTGTTTAAGTAATGCCAGATAGCCATACATTTTCAATAGCAAAAAGTCTAACGATCAGAGTGACCTTGCTCTAAATCAATAGAGACAAGACTACCTTGTCTTCCTATTTCCTTTTGGATGTGCCACTTTTCAGTTAATCATTCAGGTTTATTGTTTAGCGACATTTTGAAGTTTCTCTCTTGATTCAAATTTTACAACGTTCATTAAACTGTTTTTAACTAAAGTACAGTACATTAGAAACGTGGATCCGCCCTTGTATATTATCCAATTGGTGTTGGTTTAGTTAATAGACATTTTAAATGGTTATTTTCGAACAAGACTTTATTGTATTCTATCCTATCTAATGTAATGTAAATATGAGATATGAATCTATATATAAAAGTTAATGTAATTTAAATAAACTTAATTGAAATTAGATAAGATTACGTTGAGTAAAAAAAGGGGGCTAGTGTTGGTGGTGAAACAAACAGAAACAATAGAATTCTAAAAACAAATGAACAATTGTTTATTCTAATGTCTTCCATAATCATATTTTTTAAATTTATTTAATTTAAAATATGTGCTCTCCACTTCAAATTAGTAGTGGCTTTCTCCTGTACTGTACTTACTTTTCCTGTTAGCAATATAGTCGTGCCGATCATCTAACTCCTTTTGAGGGAAAATGTTTTAATTGAAATAACATGGCTTCTATTTTGCGTCAGAAGTTTGTATATACTTAATCGGAGCCTTCTGCCTCTATCCAGTCTTGAATTTCAACTATCTAACACCATTCTCGAACTTAAGGAAGGACAGACATCGGGCAACAGTGGGAATTTATAGACCTACAATTGTTTTTTTTTTCAAATTGCAGCCCAATTATATTTAAAACAAAAAAGGACGATACAAATGAGTTGTGGACGAGATTTTATTTGTAACAAGAAAAACATTGCACCAAGAGAAACAAACAACGCTCTCCCGCTCCCTGGAGTCACTTAATTTTTATAATTGTGCATTTTTCTTTTTCGTGTAGTTTTAATTTTAGAATATGGAATTTATTTTTATCCTTGAGGATTTTGTATTTGACGTCCTTACCGTCGCTGCGCCCTGTCGAATATACGTTTGCTCCACCCTTGTTATGGTACTGAATATGCATATATGTATTAAATTTCGTTTAAAATTATCTTTTGAATATTTTATATGATGGATATTTATTAATTTTTAATAGTTTGTAGCTATTTAAAGTGTAGTAAAATGATAAATTTATCGAACCTAATCACAATAGAAATTATAAGTAGTTTCGAATAATACGTTTAATGATTTAACTACGAATGGGACTAATCGTCACTATAAAAGGTTCAAGAACACGTAAAAATTCATTGTTTATATATAGGGGAGATCGGGGCAAGATCGGCATGTTAAGCTTTACTTAAATTTTGTGTAATAAATACTGCTGTAAACTGAAAAAAAAGCTTTGCATATTGTCTATTGGAATGTTACCTTACTATAGAACTGGTTAAAATCAGTTTGGAAATAAAAATAATTAAAATAATTACAACTTTACAAGAAGAGAGAAATTGACGAAGTTGCCCCGGGTATAGGGGCAAGATCGGCAACTTCTCTCTTTTTGTAAAGTTGTAATTATTTTAATTATTTTTATTAAAGTTGCCCCTGGTATAGGGGCAACAGTAATGGGGCAAGATAGGCACGTATATAAAATTATGTTATTAACAATGTATAAGTTGGAATTCACTATTAAAACAAAGAAATACAAATCCAACACCCATTTAATATTATTACAACGAAATGCAAGTTCAAAGACATATATACATGAATAACAAATGCAAACATGTTTTCATTTATCATCTGTTTGATTTTTATCCTTTGCTTCTAATGTGGCTTTATGTTGCCGATCTTACCCCGCTAGTCATGATTTCGAAACATTAAGTACAACCCTGAGAACAGAATGCCAAGCCACGATCTGGCCACGTGAATAAGTTGAAGTTACATCCTTCTAACAGGAAAAGTAACTTTCGTTATCATGGAATTATAACAAAACCTGCCAATTCAATATAAATGGAAAAAAAATATTATATGGAATTGAACGAAAATGAAAATTTGCTTGATAATTCAACTACGCTTGTTGGAGAACAATAAAAACACTACACTCAACAAGCCACCAATAAAACTCAACTGCCTAACCTATAACCAAAGTCTCCTTTTAATTTGTTTTTTAAAAAAAGCGCTTGACAAACTTGCCCCGCATGCCGAAGTTGCCCCGATCTCCCCTAAGTATGCCATTAATTTATTTGAAGTTAATATAATAATTCTATGTTACCTAGATTTTATGTTCCCTAGATTATTAGATTTTATACATATATAGACTCATACATATAGACTCATATATAGACTCATACTTTATAGATAAGTTCGCAGAGGTTTACACTAGAAGTGGATAATAAGAGCGAGGATCATATTAAACCTAGCTATAAGTATGGCGTGTTTCAAATTCTGGCTTAGGATTGCCACTTCTAGATATGAGTCCTGTATTGTAAACCTCTAAATTAAACCTCTATCAAACTTCTAGGGTTGGAACACACTACGTATAATTCTTTAAAAAACTTTAGCTTATATGATTTATTTTTTATTTTGCAGTGTTACGAAACGAGCCGGAGTGTACTTATTAGGAACGGGTGGCTACGCTCGTCCTGAATCAGAAGGTGAAATATAATATTTTAATATCTTTGAAGTTTTTACTTTTCCAGGGTGTCCCAAAAGTTTCCATACATACAAAGGTGAAATGTAAATTTATTCACAAAACATTAAAATGTCAAAATAAAGATTTGTGTCAGTGAATTGACGGAGTAAAGCAACGAAACACACGGGTGATCTGTCAATGGGGTAACTTCTAGCAGGACTTTCTATGTGGAAACTGGATTGTGTTTAGGTGTTAGACCCAGAACACTGCATGGTGACCAGCCCATTGGTTAGGACCAACTACCAGTGTTCAATGGTTTTATTTATTCGGCCACTGGTGGGCTTGATTTGTTTATAAAACTCGTCTCTACCCTCAAAATGAAATATTTTATCATTTTATAATAATTAATGCTAAAAAAGTTTTTAAAATGAAATCTCACAACAGATGGCACCACACACAATTTTAAAATCTGTCCGGGAAAGTTACACAACTCGTTGCTGGAGTTTTTTTATGTACTGAAACAGTCTATTTTATTTACAGAACGGTTTGAAACAGCTTGTAAAATTGATAAACCACTTATTCTTCATCCGTTTGCTTTTAGGACGCATACACATGCCCTTGGTAAGAAATTTTAATATAGTATCTTACTATATTAAAATTTTTAAAAAAATATATACCGATTTGATTTTCTTTCTTTAATTTAAAACTGAATATTTTATTAATTTTTAGGTAAAGTGGTTTCTGGTTATGTTATTAAAGGAAAAGATGGAAGCTGGAAATTAATAGGAAAACATAATCCTTTAGAACCTCAGGTGAATTGGGCAAACGTCAACATAAATTAATCTATAGATTATGGGCTTATCTTTTAAATATATATAATTTATATTTCAGATGTTTTATCCGGTGGAAGACAAAAATTTAATTATTGAACAAGGCGATGTATTGGTAAAAAATTAACCTTTACTTTTGAATATCAATTTTCTCTTTAATTAAAATGCCTATTAAATAAAATGAAAGTCAAATGAATAAATAAGTTAAATACAAAGACGTATAATTTATTTAATTTTAAAATTATATTAATATATTATGATGTTCATAATAATTACAACAATAATTTAATTATTTTAGAATAAAATAAAACATTTAAATTTCAGGCCGCTAGATGTACAATGTACAATTTTAGAGATCGAATAACATCCGTTGGGTAAGGATAATACAATTACCATAATTTAACATATGATATACAATTATAATATAAATAATATTTCCGTAGAGCAACTGCCGAAGACGAGATGTGTAATTTCTATATGATGTATTACGTAAACGGAAATGATATTTTAGATGACAAATATTGTTTCTCCATGGGTCCTCCCGGATATTACTGGAAGAATGATATATTGATAGATAAAATTCCTGAATGGGTTGAAGAAGATGCAAGTTCATTAAGAAAATGAAATTGTGATTATCTTCCTATTTACTGTTGTAAAAACAAACAACTATTACATAATAATTTTTAACTAGTTATTTATTTATTTATGTAAAAGTTTTTTGAAATATTTCTCTATTATTATATTAAATATAAAAGAAAAACACAAAATTCTAATCCAAAAATGTTATCTTTTAAGGTTTTAAAGTTCCTGAATTTTATTTACGAGAAACTTCCTTTTTTTCAGTCTAAAAACTGTAATTTAATGTCAAATATATTTTAATTTTTTCAAAAAGAATGTAAATAAAATATATTTATGAATTACTGAAATTAATTTGATTTGTTGAATTAAGAAGTACAGTATGTTTAAGAAATATTGTTTTAAAATAAAAAAGTTTAAGCTGTTTTAATTAATATAATTTTTTTTACCTTTTAACTACATAGAAACGTTTGAAAATATATATTGAAATTTAAATTATCGCATTATCGTTTATTTTATTCTCTTATTTAATTATTATGCATATATAATAACATAATTATTTCCTGGAAAAGCATCATAAATCGAAATCTAATTTCATATGGATTCAGTTTCGTAAATAATACACCGAAGCATATAAAAGTCAATTTGAATCCACTTTATTTTTATCTAATAACAAAAATTAGTATTTAATTAAGAAACAAAAGACCTTGTATTGTACTAAATTTATCAATAAATACAATAAATAAACATTCTATATCAGATATATTATAAAGATTATATATATATATTATCTTTATAATGTTTAACACTAATACAACATTTGCATACTGACAATTTTTGGTGGCACACAAAAGAGTCAGTATTATATCAAAAATGTCCTTACATGTATAAATGGAAAGTTATATTGAAATTTCACAGATTTTATACAAAAATATACAAATTATATTAAAAAATAGAAGGAAAATTAATCTTTATTTAAAATGTTATTCGACTTCTTAAACTTCTTAGAAGTCTCTTTCGTTTTAGTTCTTCTTTAAGAAGATGCGTGGATAAACAATTAATATTTTTTTAAATTAAAAATACATAATAAAATAAATAATTTTAATTTATATAAACAAAATATGAGTGAATGAATCTTTATTGGAAAAGTAGATCTTGTGTAAAGATTAGTGAATAACACTGTCCCATATTATACTCCCTGTTTCATGTATAAAATATATATGAAACAGATATATAGGCTACATGTATCCTCGTACAACAAGATTTCGCTCTAACACAGTTCGAAAATTATTAAGCTGTTTTTAACTGTAGATAAACAATCATTCGTAAAAGTGACGAACGAAATACAGCGATATCTCGTTTAAATAAATTAATATTAACGCGTAATACAGTACTATTAATTGTGATTGTTAGTTAATTATCGATTATTTTATTAAACATAATTCTCTTAGTATAACAAAAAGAATAGTATACTTTTGTTAACTATCGAAACCTAATCCTATATTTTGTATTATTCCTTTGTTTCGTATAGCACGGATTCGCATAACACGACATTTTTTCGTAAAGTAACTATCGAGTTATACGAGAGATACCTGTATTGTATTTAAATTCTAATCGTGATATTTGCTATTCTAATAAACAGCCAGACTATTTAATCCTTTCTTCACCCGAAATTCGCACTTCGGTTATTAAACTTACCAGGAAAAATTTATTATATTTGCAAAGATGCAAATATTATCGATTTCTCTTCGAAAGTTGAATGACCCAGGTGTGAACTTCCGGTCAAGAAAGGATAAAAATAATCTGGTTATGTAATAGTATAAATATATCTCGGAATATAATTCAGAAAAACAAAAAATGATATTTGTTATTTTAATTACATATTATGTTTCAATGTATGTTCAAAATCTTCCAGGATCAATATATTCTAATACGTTTCGATGTTAACACATTTGAATATAACTCTTGAGCTTCATATTTTTCTAATTCAAAAAATTTTTGGAAAAAAGCAACTTTTTTCGTGGATCATACATTTTTCTTTGATTCATCTTGCATGAATTCAATTCGCGCAAACCGTTTTCTTTTTTGAAGGTAGATCTGTTTTTCTTATGACCTAGCTCCTAATAAGAGACGGATCTATGGGGGTTACGAGGGTTTAAACTCTCCCCATTGAGATAAAAAAAAACATATGAAACTTTAAAATTATGCTATATTGGATAATTAATATTGTAATAAAAATAAATTACATTGACTTAATAATTATAAATTTCTATATTTAATATACAGGGCATCTAATAAGTCTGGAGCCCTAGAAGTTATGTTGTTCTTTCTTTATTCTCTTATAGGTAAAATGGATACTGAGTAAGGATGAATTCAAGTTGTTTTGTTGGTGGAACCCACAGTTAGCGAAAAATCGCAGAAGTGTTTAACAAGCTCTATAGCGGTCTGGATGAAGCCTGTTAAACTCTTCGCTGACTGTGGGTTCGCACCATCAAATCTTGAAATCATCTATCCTTAATAACGCCATGTTTTACCTCAATGTACTATTTGTAAAGTTAGAGAGGGGATGATCACTCGGTTTATGTTCGATAAGCTTATAATATTATATCATTTTACTATTAGGGGTGGGTGGCATAAAAATCATGATAGTAGTACTACTGCAATGGGGAAAAATTGCATAGTCTATATGTTTTGTAATAATTTTTTGAATTCCTTGAAAACATACATGAAACACCCAAACGACACCAACTTTCCACTGGGTTTTTAGTTCAAGCAGAGATCATTTAGTTATGTTTATCTTAATCATTCTTAAACATTGTGTCCAGTAGTAATGACAGCAGCAGGTAAGCGAAGAAAGTGGAAAAATTGTGCTTAGTAGCACTAAAGGAAAACAAAATGATTGCTAACTGTGACTACTCCTTGCGATGTATGTTGGAAAATATGCGCAAAATTTAAATTCACAAATGGTAATTACATAGTTACATTTATAAACTACCCTTTAGTTTAAGATCAAACTTGTAATTTGATAAAACTGAAAAATTTTCGAGATCCACAAATTTGATAAGAAAGGGAAAGAAACTATCCCTGGTTGGAACACTTCCATTTCTGTAAAACAGTAGATATGAAAGGTAGAAGGAGAAATCTCATCAGTTTTCTTTCTAATTGTACCCTGCTGTACCTGTAAAAGAGAAACAAAAATCAAGGTAACTCATAATTCCTGACTTACGAAGATCCTCTATATTTAGGATTATATGAAATTGGCTTACTACTATATAAATTATAAACCATTTAATTAATTTTGATTATTCTAGTTTTTTTACATTTTAATTTATTTTTAATACGAAATGTAATTATACCTTTTATACGAGCAGTCTCCTAAAATACGTTTCGTAGTAGTGTAAATTTAAACATAATATAATATTTAAATACTCATCTACCCACAGTATTTAAAACTCTTAATCAGTTCTCTCCTTTAAGGGAAAATATGTAAAACAGTAATAAAAGATTCAAAACAATAATAAGAAAAACTATTACACATGAAAATTATTTATTTATTAACAGATGGCTACACGTAAATTTACACATTTTGCTATCATTTCTCATTATGCTTTATACATTAGAGAGGACTACCTAGTCTCTGATTATATTCATACATTCTGGAATATTTAAATTTTAAATTATATGTTATTCTAGGTATTTTAAAATAAAATATTTAAGATACTTCTAAATTAAGAAAAGCTTCATTTATTCTTTTGTTAGATATGATACAGTTTACAACATTGCGTTTTTATTTATAATACATTACATAGGTGAACATTTTGATTTATATTATATATCTTTTAATATCGCTTATCTCTGATTAAATCTTGAACACGTAAAATATTTGGTAAAACTGTCACGAAAGCATAAGAAATACATACATATATGTACGATATTCGGTACGTTCATTTGTGATAATGTTAAGGAAGTGGAATTAGCTGTCTGAGAAATTTATGACTGTTGTTACAGGGAGGAGAGTTTTCTGAGAAGTTGCGAGAGGGAATTTGACAGTTGAACTCGAGTTGAACAGATTAAATGAAACTCCGAGAATCATATATTTGTAAAAAAACGTTTATGCGCTGACTATCAAGAGAATAATTGGGCTGCAATTTGAGAAAGTTGTAGACAAATTCCCGCTGTCTTTCACCCGTCCAACTTTCTGTCTTTCCTTAATCTCGAGAACTAAGTTAGATACATAAAACTGAAGACCAGATATGGAAATATTATAGGCAAGAGGTCACGATTAACTATACATGAATTTCCAGTGCCAACCGAACGTCGTGTTATTTCAATTCAAAAATCCCCTCCAAAATGTTAGATTACCGGCACGACTCTATTGTTAAAAAAGAAGTATGATGTACAGGGCCAAGCCACTATTAATTTGAGGTGGAGAGCATATATTTTAAATTAAATAAATTAAAAATATGATTAAAAATTGCATCCCGGAATTGTGACGATGTCATAATAAAATTTTCAGTCAACAAGATATGGTAAAATGTTAACTGTCTGGGTTTCGACCTCATAATCTATTATGGACTGTATCGGTCGAGGTGTTGTTCTCTATTTCTCATCTATTACGGGAGTGTCTGACCCCCTTACTTATCAGGATTGCCCTTAATGGATATAATTATGACCAGCTTATAATGTTAACTGTGTTAATGCCTCGTATTAAATAATTAATTAATCAATAAATAAAACTTTCACGTTAATCAGTATATATGCCACTCTTTAAATTAATTTAAAAAGCATTTTTCTACCGAATAGAACGCATTACTGCTTAAAAATAGCTTCGGCTATGTGTAAAGACATTAAAGCTTGTAGACGTTTTTAAAGATATTGTTTAAATAACAAAAGAGAGCATCTAGCGAGACACTACATCAATGCCAACAGTATTATTCCATAAATACCTCCAGATAAGAAAGAAATGCCTCTTAACTTATTGCCAAGCAAATATTCTAATTAAAAAGTTTTTAATTTACTTATTTTAAAATATATGCTCTCCACTCCAAATCAATACTGTAATATCTTGCCCCCGTACATCATACTTTTCCTTTAGCAACGGAGTCATGCCGGTCATCTATCTAACTATTTTCAGGGGAAAACATTTGAATTAAAATAACATAACTTCCGGTTTGAGTCAGAAGTTCAAATATAGTTAATTGGGACCTCCTGCCTCTAATATTTCCATAACGTTCAAACTCAGAAACAATTTTTGCCTTTGTAAATGATGTAAAATCAATTAATTCCTTCTCAGACCATAAACAATACCCATTTTGATAAACTTAAAATAGCGAATACTGTAATTTAAAATCAAAATAACACAATCAAATGCCTAAATAATAAATTATAACAC